AAGAAGTGACAACAGTAATAATTTCAGGAATTTATATCAGATTGTTTTGCTCCATTGATAAGCGTAATTGACGAATACGCAACAGCGTGTGACGAAGTGATATCAGCATTTGTTCGAATTATACTACGATTATTGGATACAATCACGATGGTTCGCTCGCCTCTAGAAGTTATCACAAACGCAATCACTACGCTTCCATCCGTAATTGCGTCGTTCATTGTCACAGGCTTATATGGCATTTTTTATTTGATAACGTTGCCGTTTCGTTTGATTTTTCATTTCATCTACTATCATCCTTTCGCGACATTCGTTTTGGTTCTGTTCACAGTATTTTGTGCACTTATTTTTATGGTTATCGTTAAACGAATCTCAATAAGTCGTATTTACCGAATGCTCTCGCAAACGATTGCACCATACATATACGCATTCGTACGTGCTCTGATTCCAATCTTTTTTCCGCAGTTGCATTCTGTGTATCATACTGTTCGTTTGATATTAACACCGTTCATTGTTGCATTCAGTTTCATTATTTCAATGCCAAATCAGTTTGTTGATCTAATCCGAAATATATTCAATCCCACCTCACCTTCGTCGAATCGACGGCACCGGACGCCATCTCCCGAAAGTGATGATTCTGATGAGGATCAGCAGCGTGCTGAACGACTNCTTCGTCGAATCGACGGCACCGGACGCCATCTCCCGAAAGTGATGATTCTGATGAGGATCAGCAGCGTGCTGAACGACTGATGTGTTGTGTTTGCATGCTGAGAGACAAATCGGTCTTGCTGCAACCTTGTAATCATATTTGTTTATGCTCAGAGTGCTGTGAAGAACTGATGAGTGTATCAAATCCACATTGCCCACTGTGTCGTACTAAAGTACGATCTTCTGTTGATGTCTATATTTGACTGCTTGGCTTTATTGTGCACTAAGATGAACATTCGAATTCTTGCCAATTGAAATTTGATTTAGGCCCATGCTTCAGACTCGCGTCGAAACATAGCATATTCCCAATTTTAGCTGATAGAAGAATCGACATCTAAGGTATGTCTAACATTGGTCTTAGAATTACGCTGGCCAAGGCATGTGCTCTTTTGCTAGGACATTTGTTGATGTTATGTGATATTGCAGATTATTTTGAGCTGGTAATTTTCGCTAGAATTTATCCAACAAGTGTTCATCCTAATTCACAGCAGTACCAATTTTGTTTCGTGGATTTCCAGTCGCTTTCAACCCG